GCCTTGTCTGCGATCACATGTCTCTGGCAAGGATTTGTCGCAACCTGGTGGGCGATGTTTGTTGCACGATTCATGCTAGGCTTCGGCATCGGTCCCAAATCAGCGACCGTGCCGATATACGCGGCCGAAACGGCGCCGCCATCCATCCGTGGTGCATTGGTCATGCAGTGGCAGGTGTGGACGGCCTTCGGGACTATGGTCGGCTATGCGGCGGACCTCATCTTCTACAATGTCAGCTCGAGTTCTATCGTCGGCATGAATTGGCGCTGTATGATGGCCTCGGCGATGTTCCCGGCTCTGATCGTTTGCTGTTTTGTTTTTACTTGTCCTGAGTCGCCGCATTGGTATATACGCCAGAAGCAGTATTACCGTGCTTACAGGTCGATCTGTACGCTGCGGAATCATAAAATCCAGGCAGCTCGTGACCTTTACTACATGCATACCCTGCTGGAGGCTGAGAATAAAATGAATCTTGGGCGTAACAAGATGCTGGAACTGATTAAAGTCCCGCGAAACCGGCGAGCAATGTTGGCATCTCAGATTGTCATGTTTATGCAACAGGTAAGTGTGGATTTTCAGCAAGATATACTGAAGTAATTGCAGAGAGAACTGACCTGAATAGTTTTGTGGTGTCAATGTTATTTCATACTATTCTTCCGAGATATTTCTCGAGGTTAGTCTAAGCTATCGATCCTACTTTTTCTCTAACAGAACATTAACAAAAATCACAGGCCAAATTTTTCTCCGGCGGCGGCTCTAGCCGCCTCATTAGGCTGGGGACTCATTAACTGGCTCTTATCCATACCAGCAGTCTACACAATCGACACATTCGGCCGACGAAATCTCCTGTTATTCACCTTCCCACTCATGTCCATGGCAATGTTATTTACAGGGTTCAGCTTCTGGATCCCAGAGAGCAGCCACAGTGCACGTCTGGCCTGTATCGCTTTAGGAACATATCTTTTCGGCGTTGTCTACTCACCGGGCGAGGGACCGGTGCCATTCACATACACAGCCGAGGTATACCCTTTGTACGTGCGGTCATACGGGATGGCGCTAGGCACGGCAACGATGTGGTTCTGTAATTTTATTCTGGGGGTGACGTGGCCGTCTCTGCGGGCTGCATTTACAATACAGGGGGCATTTGGTTGGCATGCAGGCTGGTGTGTGGTTGGATGGTGGATGGTGCTTTTGTTTATGCCGGAGACGAAAGGGAAGACCCTTGAGGAGTTGGATCAGGTTTTTTCTGTGCCGACGAGGTTGCATGCGCTGTATGGATTGAGGCAAATTGGGTATTTCTTTAACCGATACTTGTTGCAGAGAGATGTTAGACCGGAGGTACTTTATGAGAGGGAGGAATTGGTCAAGGCTCAGGATGTAGGATTTAATGCTTGACGAGATGGGTATGGAGTAGAATTTGATCCACATTTGAAGAGAGGGATGGATGAATTCATGGGGAAATATGAAATATCCCTAGATTAGTTGATTTTCTGTTTTAGCATAGATCTACTCTGGCATCTTGGTATTCTTAATTGTTAATGAATAGATACTTACAAGACTTCTATTCCAATTTAACTCCCACTTACAGAATGATTTGGCCCGGATTTCAATGGTAACAATGTCTCGAGTCTACGATTTCTTTTCATGCAGATTGTGCGAAGCAATGTAATTGGATAGTTGACATTCAGCAGGATCAATGGTACTGTTCAACAATTCCCATGTAGCGATGCGGAGTTCTCTTCCTGTCCTTTTCTCGTATTGGCCGTCTTCGAATATGCCGAATATCCACAGATTTAATAGATTATCTTACATTCGGGTTATAGCCCCGGTTGGTTTGGGTCTGAAAACTAATCAGCTCGACGGGTGCATTGTGGCGCATCCAACAGCGCTAAGCGACATATAAATGGCTGCGCTTGTATGCAAACTATAACAACACAGCCAATCGGGGGGAGACTACAAAGTTATTGTTAGTTAGTTTATATAGTACATTGTCATCAACCATAGAGAATTGTTAATTGAGAAAAAATAATCCTAGGCTCTATACGAGTCAGACATAAATGGCGAGAGGATGCAAGATCTTCTCTTATGAAAATCATACGCAATGGTATGAGATCTAAAATCGGACGTCGATTGGGCCTCCCATTTGGAATTCTTAGAATCACCGTAGAGGACTAATTAGGAAAGAGTCAGGAACAATGCATACATGTAATGTTTGTAGGACATAAGAATATTCAGGGTCACCATGCCCTAGACATACCCTGAAAGCATTAAAGCAAGATCAAGTATTCCATCACCGATTCACTCAGCCTCGTTAAACCCCACAATTTCTATAATCGAGAGAATAAGTATCTATTTTCGACTATATTTTTCAATTCTTAATTGGCTTTCAGCCCCGGAAATGCGGGATCGAATTTGTCCAATGATTTCTTAAAGCCCTAGATGCCTCCCGATGTTGCCCCCAATGGATAGAGGCATCAGAACTCTTGGCTCAGCTCTAAACTCCGCTCGGGGTGAGATTCCGATGAGATTCATATAAAGATAAAATAAGATTATAAGCCTCAGTCTTAATTTGGCCCCAACGGCCCCGCCTTACTAGTCCGCTTCAATCGAAATTCTGGTATGCATCGCGCTAATGCTGACAATATCCGAGACAGAAACCAACAGCGGCTTTAAGATACGCCTAGCTTCAACAAGGCTAGACTATGATAGGTTCTATATGTAGTTCTTTTTCTAGTACTGTGGATCAGGAGAAGGTGTGAATCAGCGCAGTCAACCCGATCTGAAACCCCGGACATTAGGGCCAGTGATATTTTATCAGAAGGAGCAATGGAGAATTGACCATTGGCTCGGCGCAATCATTTCACTTTTGGAAGGAGAGTATGTCATTGTCGTTGAATTCCCCCGCTTCGGGGCCTATCCTTTTCGGCGTATAAAGGCGTTGATCTTATTCAGCTTCACTTCTGTAATCTACTTCTTTCTGACACTTGTCTCTGAACATTCCTCTCTCCGAGCACCTCTTCACCATGCTACAGAGCACTTTGACTGGACTGGTACTTGCTTCGTGCAATGACTCGACTACTCTTCGAGATCTGGGGAGCCTGACCTCAGTGATCCTCCTGATTTCTGCATTGCTCTATCGAGCACTATACATGCCCGTGGCATCTTCACCTCGAAAAGTACATTCCCCTCCCCGCTTGCAATTGCCTAGCTGGAAGGTCACCCAGTTCTTCTTTGAGAAGAGGTTTGATTTCATCAAAGATGGCTTTAGGGCTACATCATCTTCTATCTATCAGACCAGATTGTTCCAACATGCGGCCATCGTTCTATCCGGGGAAGAAGGCCGACAAGTCTTTTTCAAGGAGAAGGGTCTCTGTCTATATGACACTTTTTCAATCATGATGGGCAGTGTAAGGTCCCTACTCATTGATTTTGTTCTCAACAATAACCAACTTCCCGCATTTAGGGTGCTGCTCAATTTGATCCCCATCAAGTCGGCGGTGTGGTCAAACGAATGGCTTCGATCCAACGACCTGATAATCTCCAGAAACGTTAGTATATGCCATTCTTGATCAAGGTAGAAGATTGACTAACATACATACAGTGATTCCATTGATTCTGGTAGAATGTCAGCGGAAAATGGATGCATGGGGTAGCGAGCGTATTCTTGACCCCTGCTCTTCCCTTCACGAGGTGCGTGGGTCTGAGTTCAATCTTTGATAGATGAGAAACTGAGACACTTTGTTTTTTTTCCCCTTAGGTTGCTTTTCACTTGGTCATGTGCATTACTTCCTTTGATATCGCCAATGATGCGGTGCTTTCGGCTCGTCTCAAGTCCCTTGTAGACACTGTCGACTCGATCACTAACCCATACTCAACTTGGTTTCCTTGGTTGCTTGGCCCAGCCTTCTTCCAGAAGTTCTTTGCTTCTGTTCAAATTTACTGGATTGTTCAAGCGGCCATTCACACTAGGAAGAGGAGCGGGATCAAGAGGGATGATCTGCTGCAGCAGATGATTGACGAAGGAGATGGTACAATTCGAATTTTTGGGGTATATATTCTTGCCACATTCCTTTTCGACTATTTTGATCGAGAATCTAATTCTCTCAAAAGTGTATGCTAGGGTTATCGCTGGCTGGAGCTCGTGCCACTGGAACAATTGGTAAGTTTGATATTCAGCAACACCCAGTATAATACTACTAACGATTATCTCCTCTAGTGACATGGTTGATCATGCACCTCTCCTCGAACCCAACTTGGTCCTCGAATGTCCAAGAGGAGATCAAGACTTTCATATCTACTCACATCTCCTCATCATTCCCTCTATCTGGGAACACTCTCATCCAAGCCCTCTCAGAAATCCCACTCCCAGCCTGGGAATCCCAAACACCAAATCTTGATCTCTGCATACGTGAAACACTGCGCACCTCACAACCATACACAGCAGTGCGAAAGAACATAGGTCCAGATCTTACCATTGGGCCATACGTTATCCCCTCGGGGTCTCTCGTTATGTATCCATTTTCGGATACAGCGCTCAACCCGAAGTACTACTCGGAACCAACCCGCTGGGATCCATCTCGGGTACTTGAAAAGGACACACCGTTTATTGGCTGGGGTGCGGGAACACATGCTTGCAAAGGCCAACGACTTGCTACATTGAGTATGAAGCTCATAGTTGCTTATGCTTTGACGCGGTTCGATATCATGATGGTTGATGGGCAGGGCGAAAAGATCAATCGTGTCCCCCTTCCCGAGTGGAATGATTCTGCGACTTGTCGACCAAAGGAGGAATGTGGAATCAAATTCACTGAGAAGTGACATTTTCTACATTGCTATAGTTGAGACTCGCCGGTCTCATTTTATCTCATTTTTTTGGAGCGGACGCGACCATACGGATTAGTGGTCATCTGGAACAAATTAGATTACTTTGATACTCCTGACACTTCTGATACTTCGACCATCTCTCATATATTTTCTCTCTACACAATAAACTAAAGACTATGGCCACCAGAACAATTTATCTCATCTCCGCTCGCAACACATCCTTCCAAAGAGCCCACTTCTCAATATTTGTCCCGTCGGCTACCAATCCTGACTGGGGAACCAAAATACATGCCGTTGGTGCACCTATGGCAGGCTATGTTCTGGAGTTCAAACGAAATTACAATCCCAGTCTCGAACCTCACGACCAGATGTTTCCAATCGGCCAAGTCCACTCGTCCGACATCGTTGATTCCCCAGATGCGGCTCCATCCATCGACTCCACCCCCCGAGGGAAGATCGAACTAGCGGCAACACAAATTCCAACTCCGGGGATCAATCAGAACTTCATGGCACCTGTTAATGATGTGAGTAACATGGCAGATACTTTATGGAGGTATTATGAGATCTATCTAGATTAAGCTGACACACCCGAGTTTCTAGATTACCAACAAGCGGTGTCAAGAATGGACTATGGAATATGTTCGCCATCTGGTTGCTAAAGGCCTGATCGACGAAGAAGCGATTGAGATCGTTCAATCTAAACGGGATTCAGCTACTCACGGAATTGGACTACAATCTGTGACTAGACCTACCTAGGGAGCATATAGTATAACTAGATGACCTGGAATAGAAAACAAGATGTCCATCTCCGCTGCCAACCGCTCCCCGCATCCGCCCCGACAGCGAACCGCCATCGGATGCTGTCCTGACATACATAATGTACTTCCTGTGACATCCGATCAATATTCCGATGGAAAGGGGCTTATGGGTTTAGTGTGACAGCATGGAATGCCTGGACGCTTCCGAAGTGCGGGGTCTCCGCAGATGATATAAAGCAGCTGACAATCATACACATTGTCTACATCCTCAAAACATTCTTACTCCCCTACAATACAAGCAAAATGCTCGGCAAAATCGCCCTCGAAGAAGCCTTTGCGCTCCCCCGATTCCACGAGAAGACAAAATGGTGGGCGGGCATGTTCGCAACCGACACGGACAAGCACACAGCAGAGATCAACGACGTCGGTCCAATCCGACTGGACTTCGCCGAGCGCCACGGTGTCGGTCTCCAGATCCTCAGCTACACAGCACCAGGCGTACAGGATATCTGGGACGCAAAGGACGCACAAGCGCTGGCGGTTGAGATCAACGACTACATCGCAGAGAAAGTGAAAGCGCACCCGGATCGGTTTGCCGCATTTGCGTAAGTTACAGTTCCCAAATCCAGAATGGAATTTCATTACTATATCCCATCCCATCCATGATAGATATGTATACATCCAACTAACCCACCCAGCACTCTCTCCATGCACGACCCGCAAGAAGCAGCAGCCGAGCTCCGACGCTGCGTCACACAGCACGGGTTCCTGGGAGCCCTAGTGAACGACACGCAGCGGGCCGGCGTCGACGGCGACGACATGATCTTCTACGACAACGAGAAATGGGACGTGTTCTGGGCTACCTGCACTGAGCTGGACGTGCCTTTGTATCTCCACCCACGCAACCCGACAGGCACGATCTACGAGAAGCTGTGGGCTGATCGGAAATGGCTGATCGGGCCTCCGCTATCATTCGCGCACGGGGTCAGTCTACATGTTCTCGGGATGGTGACGAACGGGGTATTCGACCGGAACCCGAAACTGCAGGTTATTCTTGGACATTTGGGGGAGCATATACCATTTGATATGTGGCGGATTAACCACTGGTTTGAGGATCGGAAGAAGATGCTTGGACTTGCGGAGACGTGTAAGCGGACGATTCGGGAGTACTTTGCGGATAATTTGTGGATTACGACGTCGGGACATTTCTCGACTACTACGTTGAACTTTTGTATGGCGGAGGTTGGGGCTGATCGGATTTTGTTCTCGATTGATTATCCGTTTGAGACATTTGGGGATGCGTGTGAGTGGTTTGATTCGGCGGAGATGTCGAATACGGATCGGTTGAAGATTGGAAGGGAGAATGCGAAGAAGTTGTTTAAACTTGGGGCTTATAAGGATAGTACGGCTTGATATTACGGGGAAGATAGAGTTGGAATTGAAGTTTTCATATTTGAATTTCGTTATGCCTTTGTTCACTCGCTGGAAACATTGAATCTTGAGTATTTGAGTTGAACGAAAAAAAAAAAAGAGAAATCGTCGAATCGTAGAAATTGAGAACAAATCCCAGGAGATGCCATAGTTCAGTGTCATGTCAAGACGAATCCTGCTCAGCTGCCTTGAGTCGATCCTTCTCGAGTGCCTGGAATCGATTCCAGCAGTGCTCCCAGATCTCTGGCGAGTCACAAAGATAACTCATCATTGGCGTAAAGTACTCTTGTTTGACCTTGAGAGTGATCCAGGTCAAGGCACCGTAGGTTTCGATGGAGCTGTTCATCAGTTCCCAGATGAGAAGGACACGACATGAAAGCTTCGTACGTGCGCGTGTACGGTTTTGCTCGTTCAGGACTTGACGGTTGCGCAGCAGAAGGAAAGGATTGTGGACCCATTCTTCATACATGTCCATGTACAAGGCAAGCAGTCGTCGTTCAAGGTGACGAGGCTTCTTCATGGCCCTATCCATTGCGTATTAGTGCTGACTGAAGCAAAGGGTAAACAAGAAACGAAGGGTATTAGGGTACTTACTTGGCGAAGACAGCCGACATTTTGCAAAGACGCTCGTAGCTCGAGATAGGCTCCAGTGAGATGTCCTCCAGGGTGAAGGTAGCCTGCTCGGCAGTCTCTAGCTGCTCTCTGAGCATCTCTTCGATGAATTCGATGTGGTTGAGAATGGTCTCAAGGTCAAGGGCTGCATCTTCAACTTCTTTGGGAGCTAGAAACTCTGGGCTTCGGTGGAAGATGATGAGGTTGAATTGAAGAGTAGCGTTGACGATAGTAATGAATTGCTTGCGGACATCAGGAAGCATTTCCGGGTCGGCAAGAAGGTCTCGCAGTTGTTCGAGGACAACCTGACTGCGATGAGACGGGTCACTTTGGACGTAGGGAATTATGTTGGGGTCGACATAGGCCATGCGGTTCTCTTGCTGGGCAGCTTTTCCGAAAGCATAGGCCCACGCTTCTTCATGGCGTTTCTCGACTGCGATGCAAGATGCATGCATCCCACACTCGAACTCGTCGTATTCGGGAAATGGTTCAGTACCAGAGAGTGGTTCAGTCTCCGTGTTTGCACCATCTGGGCCCATAGGAGTAGGGGATCCAGATTCCTCGGATTCAGAATCCATGGCGACTTGAGAGCGGACAACCGCGAGACGGGATCCTGGCGGGAGATCGTCCATTTTGCGAAGATGAGATGAATGTTGAGTGACGTGAAGGGAAAAAAGAGGGGAGAGGGGAGAGGGACGAGATCTTAAAACGAGACAAACGGCTGCCATAATAATGTATTGAAGTTATGGAATAACACACGCACGCAGGCACGCGCGTGCGTGACAATGTGACAATGGACAGTGAACAATATGACAATAAGATGATACTAAGCCTGAATAGGAAATAGGACTATACATGAATTTACCAGCTGCTCAATCCAAAAGCGCTAATAGATCAGACTCAAAAGGTCAGAACGCTCCTTTAGAATTGAGTGGTGGACTGCCTTCCCCAAGAACGTTGCCTGATTAGGTGAAGTAGCGAATGACATGAGAACAAGACGTTCTCGAGCCAATCATCTGCTTCTCAGGCAGACAATCAAGAGTTAACGAAGGCAGTTATTGTTCTTCGCACATTGACTAATCGACGTCTCATGGGGCAGAGGAGGACGGCAACTTAAGTAGTGCGAGTTCATTGGAACTATTCTTCCTTCACTCCAGCGTCGTCCGGCACTGGAACGTCCGTACCATTGTCCTCACCTGGTAGTGGGACATCCATGACTCGCTCGCCAGCCTTTTCCAGCGTCCGTCTACTCCATGACCGAACACCTTTGTAGACAGCCTGTCTGCGGTTAGTCAAATCAGATATAGTCAAACGTGACTATACATACCCAAAGGAAAGTGCCAATGCCAACCATGACCACTAGCCAGTTCAACTGGGCGGCCCGATTACGGCCTGAATTGCGCCCTGATGCGACAGACCGGAGGTTCCAAGGGAAAGGCGACAGCGCAAAGATTGCCTTGAGGAAGGATAACAGGCCCAAAGACGCGAGTCCTTTAAGGAAGTGTCCTAACCAGGATGCATCTTCCTCGACCAATTCAGCGTAGATATCCACGGGGCCCAGGTAAAAATCAATGATGGGGTCAGCAATGAATCCAAGCAGGAATACGGTTAACAAAAGAATGCGGAGTGTGAGGATTAGCTGGGTAGTGGTGCTACTGATCCACCGAGCCCAAGTCAGTCGCTCCAGGCGATACTGGAAGCCACAGGTGGGACATTGCCAGAAGTTTCTCGTCCCATATTTGGGGTCGGCATGGCGCCATGACTGCAAGCAGCCCTCGTGAACATAACGCGAGGAACCTTTGCATTGACAAGGGCTTAACAGACGACCAGATTCTGGATCTGAGGATTCATAAACCACTCGAGGCTTCTGGAGGAATTCTGAGGGTTGGAAAGTAGGCAGCACGCTTTCTAGGCAGATGCGGCAGACCCGTGGAGGATAATGCTGTGTGTCTGCCATTGAGTCTCACATCGAGATCTACTCGAACCTTGACAAGAGAAGGCCGAGGAAGAATTACTGTTTCTTTTCTGAGGTGTCGGAAAGATAAAAAAAAGAAGAGAACGACAAAAAGAAGAGGAAAAGCAGAAAAGCCGAAGGTGTCCCAAACCCCCACGGCTAATCCCGATCGGGTCACCGCCTTCCGTGAGCTCTACCGCGCCAAACGTCACCCATCTCTCTGCCTACAACACAGCTCCCTTTCTTTCGATCTTTCCATCCTCTCCTCTTCTCTTCCTATTGACAGCGAATCATGGCGGACAGATACTCATTCTCCTTGACTACATTCTCCCCCAGGTAAGGACAACTTGTACTATGGAATTGACAATATGCTAATTCAGCTCCATTACAGTGGAAAGCTGGTGCAAATTGGTATGGAACCATCGTTTCTGAGCTTAGGCATCGATGACTGATTAATATAGAATATGCTTTGAACGCGGTCAACCAGGGTGTGACTGCCCTTGGTATCAAAGGTATGCAAACGCCCAACTTCTCCCACATCAGGGCCAAGCTGACCGCCGCCCGTGATAGCTACGAACGGCATTGTGCTCGCGACTGAGAAGAAGTCCTCCTCGCCTCTGATCGACCCTCCTTCGTTGTCCAAGATCTCACTGATCACACCGGATATCGGTATGGTCTACGCCGGCATGGGCCCCGACTACCGAGTGCTGGTCGACAAGGCCCGCAAGGTCTCACACACAGGCTACAAGCGCATCTACAACGAGTACCCTCCTACTCGTATATTGGTCCAGGACGTCGCTCGGGTAGTGCAAGAAGCTACGCAATCCGGTGGTGTGCGGCCGTACGGTGTCAGTCTGTTGGTCGCCGGCTGGGACGAGGGCGTGGAGCCCGAGTCAGAAGAGGCTAAGAAGGATGATCCCGAGCAGAAGGCCTCCAGCAAGACTGGTGGCATCCAGAAGGGTGGGCCTAGTCTGTACCAGGTCGACCCCAGCGGCAGCTACTACCCGTGGAAGGCGACAGCCATCGGTAAACACGCAACAAGCGCCAAGACGTTCCTCGAGAAACGGTACACTGAAGGACTAGAGCTGGAAGATGCCATCCATATCGCACTGTTGACCCTCAAGGAGACGATTGAGGGTGAGATGAATGGCGACACAATAGAAATTGGTGAGTTTGGAGTTTCTGCCTCGTTTGCTCCCAATCTGGCTACTTGGGTATCCAAAGGTCTGGTGAATATCGACTAACAGCGTTCTAGGCATTGTCGGCCCCCCAGCGGACCACCTTATGGGCTTCGAGGGAGTGGAGGGTGCTCAGGGACCACGGTTCCGCAAGTTGACCAAGGAGCAGATCGAGGACTACCTGACCAATCTATGAACGAGAACACATAATTTATGTAGACTCGAATGAAACATTTCCTTTTTGTCGGGTGATTGACGTTTTCCGATTACAAATCGCATGGCCACAGACGGCTACATACCTAATGGTCTACTTGATGCCACCATACTCCGTATCTTGATGGCGAAAGCCGAACGTTTCTAAGCGCCAGGAGATGCTCCGAGCCACCCCTGATATCGCATTTTTCCATTCATTACAATCGTTTATACGGCCTATCCTATAGGACTTTGACACTCCAGATATGCAGTTCTAAGCTTGCTTTGATATCATTATCATTATATTTTACACCGTCATATTGTCATATTGCTCATGAAGTCGCCCTCCCAGACTCCACAAACAACCTCCTCTGAACTACTTGACCTCCGACCGGCGGCGCCAAGAAGTCCTTCGGCTCAGCCTGCTCATAAGGCGAATCCTCACTGTGATTCGGCGTCTCAGGCGGCCTCTGCATCGAGCAAAGAGGCAATGTATCGGCAATAGCGAGAGAAATCGGATGTCTGGAACCCTGAATGAGATCTACCAGACGACCAAGGACAGCAAACTCCAGTTTGAGTTTGAGCGAGTAAATGAATCCCTTCAAGGTGATTTGCACGGAGTATAAATTAGCGTATTCGAGACTCAAAAGCAGCAGATCCATCCCAATGATTGTGCAGTTGATCCCGATCAGCTGATACATGATGCTGCGTGCATCGGGACGCGAAGACACATCCGCACCAAGACGCAGCAGCTTAACCGTCTCAATGACATATAGCGTGGACAGCAGACTCTCTTGGATCGTGAACCCGGTCAGCTGGATCTTCTCCATGATGTTGTATCCATTCACCCAGGAAGCGTCACCAGTGTGGACTATGTTCGCGCCGTAAGTGAGGATGGTGGTGGGCACATGCAAAAGCAAGATATTTGCGATGATGAGCTGCAACACACGGCGCAGCATGCGCTCGTCCCGTAGCACAAGATGCAGTCGTGAGTAAAGCACCACGGATTGACCGGTCACCATAATCCACCAGCCGATCGTCAGGACAGTAACGGACAGCACGGAATCCGTACGAGTAAAGAACTTCATCAGGAAGCCAATTGAGTATGGTACGACGCCGAACACTCCCGAGATAAGCAGGGACCAGAAATAGAGCCCGCGCCAGCGGCGGAAGGTAGCTGGGACGAGTATAACCAGCTCGGCGACGTTGTAGCATGATAATCCGATAAAAGTGACGAGGATCATCTGTAATATTTCACCCTCTTGCGCGAGGGAGCCAGATATCCCATCTAGCAGGTCCTGGGGAACGTTGGACATTGTTGTAGAAGAGACTCATTCGGGGCTTTGAGGGAGGAGGTATATGAGCGACCGGACTCGAGGAGAGAGTCTGGTTCACCCTGTTTGGTATGTCCACATATTCTTATGAACAAACGGGGGAATGGAGGAATTTTTCAAAAGAGAAAGAAGAAGAAAGACGAAAAAAACAAAAGAGTGAACGAGTGTGGGATATGGACTGATGTGGACTGGTGTGGACTGGACTGGTCGTACAGGTCAATGCCGTGTCATGCAGACCGATTTTTGAACTCGTTTCGAGTGAAAGAGAAACGAACGAAAGAAGCTCGGGCATTCAAGGATGTTCACAGGTTCATAAGGTGCCCATAGTGTGTTTCATTGGGTGTTCAACTCCAAAAGTCAAAGCTTAGGAAAGTCTGGGGTATTGGGAATGGGAGAATCCGGGAAGGGGGAGGCGCCGAATCCCAACACATCCTATATGGTCCGGCATCGGAGTCTCCGAGATTAATTCGCTAAATTCCAGCTAAATGGGCTAAATGGGCTAAATGGGCTAAATGGTAGGGATTAGGAAGGATTTGAGGGATCTGATTTTGTGGGCTATTTTCATCCTTGCATGTGAGAAAGATTATATGTATGATCCTTAACTAGTCAACTAGTTAACCCAAAAATAGATTACATGTAGATGAAAGAGATGTCCAACTAGTATTCTCTACTATCATCGTATGATGTTAATAATATATTATTTCACAATTGATTCGTGTTTAGGGTTGCCTCGGCTGTCCATGGCACATCTTCCTCGGAGTCTTCATCCTGACTGTCCGCTACTTCCTCCACTTTCCGTTTCTTGCTTGGTGCCTGTACAGGCTGTTCTGGTGGTATCGGCTTAGATGGTAATGGGCCGGGAGACTTCAAATCTGGAGATGGTGGTGCAGAAGACAGCACAGAAGATATAGGCGAAGGAGTCGGAGTAGGAGGATCATAATACTCGAAGTCGGGAGGAGTCTTTACCAAGGGACTCAAAGGTTCGGAGGGTAGAGATTCCTTTCTCTCTATTTCATAAAGACCATCCTATGCAAATTATAAGCACAACCGGATTTAACAGACCAAAGACATCCGACATACCGGTTCAATGCGAAACGCAACGAGTAGCTCCTCGGCTTGCTCAGGCAATGACTTACCCGCGCGCTTCTCAACCTCTGCAAATCGCTCATCTGGCAGGTCACAATACACCGCAATGCGCGTTTGCACGCTGGCCTCCCATGCGCTGCCGGACAAGAGCGGCTGCAGAACCGCGTGAGACTGAGGTTTGATCTTCGTATGGGTTTGGTTAATAGTCAACACAGCGATATTTCTCGCAGCAAGTCTGGCCAGATGTGTGGCTAGCTCGCTGGCAATGTTCCATTTGCGATTGAGCAGCCATTGCAGGTGTGCTTTATCAGTGATTTTGCCCTCGGCAAGCTGATCCTTCAGCTCTTGGGCGCTGGGGAAGTAAGCGGGGAATAAACTCGACACAGAGTCGACAACAATAAGGTTTGTTTCCGACGGTGGGAACCCTTTTGGAGGACGTGCCAGCAGGGCTATAAGATGGGCTAGCGTATGCGCCCGGAAATAGATAAAGTCATCGAGGTTGACGGACATCTCCTCGAGCCGGGGACTGGGCAAGGGAGACCCCGTATCTAACGGTGTGAGTAAGACAGCGCAGCTGACTTCGGGGAACTGACAGGGACATACCAATCCAGACTACTTTGCCATCGCGTAGTGCATTACATGCAATATTCAACCTGTAAATGGATCAGATCGGACTCTGGCGGTGTGGATAAGGAGGTGTGCACTCACGCCAGCGAGGTCTTCCCGGCTCCTGGAGGTCCGAATATTTCTGTAACATGTCCACGCAAGATCCCGCCTTGATTGGGCTGGTCTGGGAGGTCATTCAGAGCCTCGTCTAGACGCGCCAGACCCGTCGCGATCGGGTCGCGGGTGGCGGCCGACGCGTTGAGGGACTGCGATGCTGAGATCGAGACCACGGGCGCTGGGGAATAGTTTAATGTTTGTTTGTTTTTTCTTCTAAGGCATTTGAGAAATTACTTACGCGTATCTTCGTCAAACCCTTCGAGACCGTCGAGACCGAGAAGGTCCATGTTGATGCTCATGGGCGCATCAGGATGGATGGCAGCAAGGCCAATGTAAAGACAATTTAACAGAAAAATACGAAAAATAAGAAAAGAAATTCAAGCTCCAAGCTCTAATGCTGTACTCAATCTCATCCTAAAAATGATACCTGAGCAGGGCAGTGGAATGTTGACGGGTCGGATATCCGGGAGTGGGCTTTTTCTTTTTCCCCTTCTCGATCTCCATCTCCATCTCGAGTCATGCATACTTCAATGCCCAATGTCGATATCTCCTTCGGGGGAGGTATTCTCCTGAATTCGATCATCTTATTCCTTCTGTCTGTGCTTGTTCTTGTGCTGAAGACACAAAAGACATTGAAATCACCAAGCAATCCCAAAGGATGTCGCCGCCTAGGATTGCCGCCCGGCCAAAGCAACCTGGACGATGAATTCGACTCGAAGTACAGCCAAGGTCAACCCAGCGATCAAGATGACCATGGCCGCCCGTCCTGGCGCGTAAAAGCACTGTTCAGCTATCCGCTCAAATCCTGCGGGGCGGTCGAGCTGCAAGTCTCGGGCGTCGTACAAACCGGGCTTGAATTCGATAGACAATTCGTCTTTGCAGAGTATAACAATGACGAATGGAACATTCGCACTCTGCGTAACCCAGGCTTTAACCGCTTAGCCTTGATTCATCCGGAGATCTGGGTTCCCGACCCGTCTGCCCCAGATTATGATGCAGACCTGCCGGAAGTCAAGTCGCAGGGTGTCCTCCTGATATCGTATCCACGAATGCCGCCAGCAGGATGGAAAGGTCTCCCCATGAAAGTGGGTATGGCACTCAAGTTCCTCAAAGGGCAACAGACGTTCCAAGTCCCGCTGCTTCCACCCGCAGACTCCAAGTTCCCACTGGTCCCAGTCAAGATCTGGAAAGACAAGCCACTAGCCCATGACTACGGCCGACTGCTTCCAGCATCGTTACACGCATATCTAGGGTCCGACCCATCAAAAAACACCCTGACCCTCTTCCGCGCCAGTGCACCCCATTCACGGCAGATCTTCCGTAACGCACCGCGCAAAGCAGACCTAGGCTTCCAGCCAAATACAGCCTTCGCAGACGCGTATCCAATCCACCTGCTCAGCATCTCCAGCCACCAGGACGTAGCAGCACGCTGCGCCTACGCAATCCCCCGACTGAGCATCCGCCGTTTTCGTGCGAACATCATCGTCCAAGGCCCGTCTGCTTTTGAGGAAGATTACTGGAAGCGGCTTACTATTGGCGACACGGAGATCCACGCTTCTTGTCGCACTGTTCGGTGCCGACTGCCTAATGTTGATCCTCTTTCCGGGGATAGACATAAAGCTGAGCCGGATCGGACGCTGAAATCGTATCGGCGGATTGATGATGGGGATCGGACCAATGCGTGTTTGGGGATGCAGCTTGTCCCTACTAAGGGGGAGTTTGTCTTGAGGGTTGGGGATTCTGTTGAGGTTCTTGAGACCGGGGAGCACCAGTATATTAAGATGCTGGCCCCTGGGGAGAAGGTTGAGGGGGTGTAGACAAGTTCCACAAAAGTAGTGTTTATCATTCTGTACTATATGTTGTCAAAGTTGTATTCTAGATCAATTGGTTAGTAAAGATATTTAACTAACTAGTAGTATACAACTCACTGGAACAATCCAGGGATTAGTACCTATATATTAGTATACTACATACATGGTTGTTTGTAGTTATCCCTGTAATATTCCAAGCTTTGTTATCAATCCTTGGCAGTTATCCCACCACCTCATCCCTCATATCCATTCACTTCATTAATTCTCTCCATCCATAGTCAAAATGTCCGAACCAACCCCTCGTACCGAAGCAAGAAAAAAGGCCACAGACATCAAAAAGAAACAATCTGATAGCCTTACAGGACTCCCCCCAAACACCCTCCACATCAGCCTCTATATCCGCTCGGACCCACCACTCCCAAACGACTTCCACTGGGCCTTCTATCTCCACAAAGGCACCAGCTCCACACCCGGAGGAACGAAATACCACGCACGAGGCATCGGCGGCGGGTGGATTGCCGGACACGAGACGACAGCGGGGATATTCATCGAGAACTTCCTATGCGTGATCATTCAAATCGCAACGATTGCTCCATCAGCGCACGGCCGTGTAGATGAGATCATGAGGAGCTACGACGAGTCTCTTAACTCGATTCCGGGGATCACGTGTCGCGTGTGGATACTCACGGTGCTGCGGAAACTTGTTGACGAAGGGTTTGTGCACTGTGATATTGGGGAGTTGGAGAAGGATTGCCTTGAGTTTGGGAATGAGCATAGCGTGACGGCTAGTGCTAATGAGCAGCCTCGTCCGGTTGTCAAGTCGCGGGTTTCCTCTTGACGGTAATGAGTCTGAGTCGGGATTACATACATTCAAAGCACTCATCATGGGTGATGCTGTTAGGACAGCCCTGGAGGAAATTCAGTACATAGTAACTGAATCTTTATATAGTGCAGAAAAAAATGGCAAGGGAATATCAACATAAAATTGCAATATAGGTTAAAAAACGCTAAACAGGGTAAAGCCAGCCCCATGCAAACTCCATATACAACAGAACTATACAAGACCCCCAAGATCAAGCACTCTTAATAGCCGGCGACGACTGCTCAGGACCACTGATCGGTGCACGGCCGTCATCAGAGTCGGTCGACTCAAAGATAGGAGGAACATCATCAGGCTCGTCAGGAATGAAGAGGTTAAGGAAGATGCCAAGAAGCGCACAGATAGCGAATCCATTCTCCATGACCAGATCAACAGCATTGATCAAGCCTTCTAGAGCATGGTTGTCACCCGAGTAGGTGAAGAAGTAAGAAAACCATTCCGGCAGGAGTGTAACACCCATTCCAATCGAGAAGCTAGCGGTGAGAATGAACCGGTTGCGACGAGTGGGATCGACAGACCCAATGATGCGAAGACCACTGACTGCCACGGAGCTGAAGAGAAAAGCAGTCATACCACCAAGGACGGAGCTGGGAATTGCAACCAGCGCAGCGGCGAACTTGGAGAAAATTCCCATGATAACCAAGAAGAAGCAACAGCAGTAGCCAGCGGTTCGGTTAGCGCATTTAGTCAGCGCAATGACACCGTTGTTCTGTGCGAAGACGGACATAGGGCTAATGGTCATCAGGCCGGCCAGGAGACAGGTAATACCGTTGCCCAAGACTCCGCCTTGAATTCGGGAATCGAAGGTACCACCCTCGACCTCGAGACGGGAGACATCACACGTCGCCGTGATATCACCAATAGACTCCATCATGATAACGATGTATAACGCGAGCAACGGCAGGATGAGCGGGGGGTACACGGACAGCGGGAAAGTGTGGACCCAAGCGAAAGAAGCCACCGGTGCAGCAGCGATACCGGAAGAATCGAAGTAGTTGCACGCGGCAGCGACAATCGAGCCAACCAACAAGCCAACAATGACGGAGCAACTCTTAAGAATGGGAGGACCCCAACGCTCGCAGATGATAATCGTCACGAAGACCAGGAAACCCAGGCCAATAAATTCGGGGCTTCCCCAGGGTAGAGGGTGCGGGGCATTGGCGCTGGGGCACATTGCGCGAGCAGAAGGGTCGGCACCACAGGATGAGCCACCGGCCCAATCCTGCATAGCGGACTTGATGAGCGAAGCACCAATGAGAAGAACAGTTGGGCCCGTGACAAGTGGGGGAAGACGCGGGCGAGAATCTTGCTGCTCATGAAGGACATGCCAATTTCGAGAAGAGAGCAGAGACATGAGGTGCCAAGGAGTGCGCCGTAGCCTTTTGGACAAGGGAGTTGAGTTCCATCTTCGAGGGAGGGACAGTATCCCGATTTATACATCTGAGCGAAAGCACCTTGAGCGACTGTGATTGTTGAGAAAGATGTGCCTGTTCAAAGTAATTAATATTGGAACCTGGGGTTTCTGAAGAGAATAGATGTAGAGGGGGAAGCTCTTACCAACGACTGATAGTAGTCCCGTTCCGATGTAGTATTTTGTCCCCTTGATATGAAACCGGAACATTTGAACGACACTCAGCAGGCCCGAGACGATCAACGAAGTCGACACTAGGTACTGGTAGAGCTCATCACCGAAGTGGGCACCGCCTGAGCCGCCGAGCAAGATGGGTGGTGAAATCACTGATTCTCTTTAGAAAATGCCTGTATTTTTTGTAGGTATCTATGGTACGCACCACCAGCCAGCATTGCAAGCGCATGCTGCAAGCCCAGAATCAATGCGAGAACGACTGGCACGCGATCATCCAGACCGAAGAACGGGGCAGATTTGCGAGCTCGCTTTGTGAAAGGTAGCCGTGGGATAAAGAGGTATCCATAGTCGTAGTCGCCTAGTAGGCCCTCTCTGTTGACTGTTAATCCAGGTCCCCTCCATCACGCAGCATTTGAAGTCATACCGTGTAGTGAAAGTTTTAACGGCATATCGGACTTTGTCGCTAATTCTCCGCTTGGGCGTATGATGGGGGCCAATCTGATCTGGACCGTCCATGTTGAATGTCCAATATAATAAATATAGATGTTGAATTATTGAATTATCGGGGATAGATGTCTGATTTATATTTAAAGATCTCAAGAAATAAAAATAAATAAAATTGTCGCCCACACATAACTAGACCTGGAGATTCGGGGAGATGACTAAAACCAAAAGCGAATCCACTGTGGGCAATCTGTTATCGGACAAATAGGCAACTGGAGAGATTAAAGGGGAAGGACGCCAATTAGCAAGAGCATCGCATAACCACCTGAGCAGTTGTCCGCTTGTCTATATCAGGTTAGTACCCCCTCCGTATCTAGACGGATAGCTTGGCCAATCATAAAGGAGTATTGACCTATTAAAGTGGAGAAAGATAAGGATATCATTGTGGAGTCAATGCAAGACATCTCATTGGTAAATCCCAAATGGATCTATCCCGCCTCCACAACTCGGAAACGATCGAACGGTCTCTCCAGGGCTGCTATCTTGGGCTTTATCCGAGATCTGACAGTCGGAGAGTGCCGTGAATAGTATGGGAGGTGGAACACTCCGACCTAATATGAGATTCACGCCCTTATCAAAATGCCATTAGTCACTATGCCATCTCCTGGTCTGATCCCCGAGCGGACTTGTGAGGTTCCTTGATATCCACGCAAATTCCAGGTGTTTGGGCCGCTATAAGTACCTAGGTAGACTTGGAATAATTCAGGAGTGAATTGGAGGACACTAGGACGTCTCGTGTGCTGAAAGAATAGCAAAAGTGTCTTTACTGGTTCACCTATTTGGAACCTAATCGATGAGAGGTTCGATTCCTCGCCCATACTGGATACTCAGAAACATGCAAAATAATACAACATTGATGAACATAAATTACATAATGACACACACATATTGGAGAAGATATCACCCTGTGCCAGGATTGACTAAGCAAGAGAATACCCACCTCCGATGAATCCCAAGGGGAAACGCACGGAATCTCTCGGGAACAAAATCAACTGCAATAAACCACCCCCACAACCCTAAAAGAAAAAAAGAAGGCGACCTTTTTAGGTCTGCTTGCTTTTGCGTGACCAATGCTTGGGCACGCGACAGAGCCAGTACAAGAATAGGGCGGCGAAAATATTGAACCCTATGTAGGCAAACAGCAAACCGATGTTCCGCCCAACATCCGAGTACGACATGTGGAGACTTTCGAGGAACTGGTCTGTTGTCGACATTGGGCAGATCTTGCAATCCACTGAGGCCTCTGGGTTAAGCAAGTTGCCCTTCACAACCTGGATGTAAGCGTCCAGATAATGGCCGCAAGTCTGACCATCTGGAGGCGAGACAGTGAGCCATTCAATGCTGGAACATTCCACTGAAGTCCCGGTCAGGCCTGTGGAGAGCACGGATGACACGAAATAGGTGAACGGCGAAACACGGTTCATAAAGATCCAGAAACGCGGCATTTCAGAGGAATTAGCGAGTACCCTGCAAGCTCAGTCAGCACTACTACCAATTAACTGCGGAACACCCGCAGATAACTTACCCATTAAAGACCAAGCAAAGCGTGAACATGAACTGGGCAATGTTGCTGCCGGTATCGGCCTCCTCAATTCCAGCAATCATCATGGAGCTGAAAGTCGATGTGAACATCATGAACTGTAAAATCAACAGGTACATGATGCCACTTCGCTCGGGGACCGCGTTTGTGGGCTCTGCATTATGATAGAACCCGATTGGATAGTACCAGCAGAAAAAGATTGGCACGGACATCAAGACATTCCACGTCAGCTCCACGAGGATGCTGGCCATAATAAACGCCTTCCACGAGTAGGCCTTCGAAGGCCGTTCGCGTACCTCATACAAAGCACGCTGGGTGACAAAGGACGGCATCATCTGCTGGACCAGACCCGGGAAGATGACGAGAACCATAAAGATTGCAAGCATTTGATTCTGCAGCCCTTGAAGACTGTTAGGCATGTGCCAGAAGGTAAATCCGAGGAACAGTGGCTATATCTGTTAGTTAAATCAAAATAAAAGGGAGGAAAATATCTTACCGGGACAGTGCAAGTGAGAACTTTGGCGTACAGATATGATGGAGATCTCCAGTACTGTTGGAACGTGCGTTGGAGACAAACGAGGAACTGATACCAGATTGGCATGGCGAATTCACCAAATCCTGTAGCTCGCAGGGGTATAGGCCGGTTGGACAATTCATTTTTCATTTCAGCCAATTCCCTGTGAACCTGTACACGCTCGGCACTGTTGATCCATTGTTCAGCCCAATCTCTATCCGCATGAGAACCCGGCGCAGCACCAATGACCTCGAGCATCCATTCGGCAGGGTTTGCGTTTGGTGGGCACTTGAGTGACCCTTTGTCTTCGAAGTATTTGATCAATGTTTCCATGTTCGGGCCAAGGTCTCCAAAGTACACTGTGCGTCCTCCTTTCGCAAGAAATAATAGGCGGTCGAACTGCTGCATCAGCATTGCCGAAGGTTGGTGAATGGTACACAGTACAGCTTGACCGTGATCGGCCAGATTGCGCATCAGGGTACAAATTGACCAAGCAGTTTGACTATCCAGACCCGAAGTTGGTTCATCAAAGAACAGCAGCAAATCTGGCTTAGCAACCAATTCCACGCCGATAGTCAACCGTTTACGCTGCTCCACATTGAGACCCTCACCGACAACTCCAACCACGGCATCTGCGTATTCTTCCATACCCAGCATGCGAATGACCTCTCCGACGTATGCAATCTTTTCTTGGCGAGGAATGGTGGCAGGCTGGCGTAGGATAGCGCTAAAAGCCAGAGCTTCACGAACAGTACTAGTCTCCAGATGCAGATCCAGTTGCTGCACGTAACCCGTCTTCCGCTGGAAAGAATCGTCACGTAGCCGCCCATCTATAAGCATCTCGCCTGAGACAACGCCGATAGTGACACGATCGGCCAACACGTCGAGCAAGGATGTCTTTCCTGCACCAGTGACACCCATCAAGGCCGTCAGAGTTCCAGGCTTGACCCAACCATCCACGCTGTTCAAGATGCGTCGCCCAGCTCCGTTGACCTTGATATCGTAACACACATTCTCCCAGTGGAAGATAGAGGTTTGGCGAACAATTGCTCCGGTTGAGTGTTGGGGTTCGCTAGCAACTGCACCTTTCTCCGATGCATTGACCTCCTCTGGATCATCATTTCGAGCATCCTTGGCAAAAGCAGGAATCTTGCCACGCGGGAACACCAGGACCTCACCTTTGGATGGCTTGGCCCGGATGAGTTCGCTGCAGAAGATGTACAACCCGAAGAAGGCGACGAAGAAAGCGCAGAGAATTCCGAAGTTGCGCCACAGATGCGGGCTGTAGTATTGGTAAGTGGTGTTGATGTATGTCTCTCCATCAATAAAATCCTGCCCTGCTACAGCACCCTTCTGCGAACAGATTTTGGAGCTGAGAGGAGTATCTTTGTAAACGTCCACGCCACCCGGGACAAAAGTAGAGCAAGGGAAGGACCGTCCGCCGAACTCATTGATCATCAGCCCCTCAAAGGCGTACTATCTTATGTTAGCATATTCTGGTGTGACCGTGCACAAATTAGGTTATCATTTACAGCAATCGGGTTCACGTAGTTGAGCCACCGGAACCAAGGGCGCATATCTCGGACAGGAATAGTAAACCCGGTGTAAATGACTAGAATAAGCATGAAGACCGAAGCAGGAGGCATGGCTTGGGCCACGGACCGCGAAATTGCGCCGATGAACCGGAACATATTGGACATCACAAGAGTCGTCGTTATCGAAAAAAGGAAAAAGATGAAGAAATGGCCGGGAGTGCGCCGAAGATGAGGTAGGAAGTAGAATATCAAATTGAACACCACGGCTAGCAAGACTTTTGAGGGAAGCTCCACAATGTACGCACTAATAGCTTCCGCTGAGGGATGGTATAGTGCGTACTTGCGATGCTTTTCTACGATCGGCCGCTGTTGCCACATTATCATGATTTCAATTGAGCTGGCGAATCCACTGATCATGATGGCAAAGAAGAGCAGGCATCCACGCTTGTAGAAGCTGTCTGTGTTGTTCGGTACGTCGAAGTAGACGCTTGAAATTATCAGACTCATGCAGATATTTCCAAGGAGCGAGGCAAGCGACATAGTCGAGTCTGCCTTGAGTCGCAAGAAGCCTCGCCAAAGGCACAGACGGACTTGCATCGGAAACGAGAGCGTGTATGGAGAGGCTGCACGAGTAAACCTGGACTTGTCGGCTGCACGAGAGCGACTGAATTCCTCAAACTTTGTCTCTCCAATAGTGTTTTCGGCTTCATTCGCTTGGATCTCAGCAAGAAGCTGCTTACGCTCGGGGCTCTCTTTCCACCGTGCCGCGAACTCATCGGGTTTACGTGGAACGGAGCCTTCAAATCCGGGGCGAACAACGCGTTCCGAATGACTAGTGAGGGAAGTGAGGAAGTCCGCGGTGGTTTGTCTCTCTGGACAATGGAACCCCATCTTGATGAAGAAGCGCCGTGCATTGGACGAACTGCCGAAATAGATCTGGCGGCCTTCGTAGAGGACAATTGCTTTGTCAAACTGGTCGTAAATGGACTGACTCGCTTGGTAGACTGCGACAATAGCGGTGGATCCAGTATAGTCAGTGGAAAAGCGAATGTTTTTGACAAATTCCAGTGCCGTTGAGCTATCGAGTCCACGAGTGCTGTTGTCCCAACACTGCAAAGGGCATCGACAAAGAACGGTTTCGGCGATACTGACCCGCTTTCTTTCCCCGCCGGATACACCTCGAATGAATTCATTACCCACCTTGGTGTTCATGGTATGGGTCAAGCCAAGCATCGTCATTACCACATCCCGCATATGCGTCGCATACTGGTCGCGTGTAACACCGGGAAGTCGGTTACTCGGCGCTCGAGCGTGGGCGGCAAACAGGAGTGTATCACCGACTGTCAGCTGAGGGAAGTGAGTCTCGGTTTCGGCTTGGTAGATGACTTCGCCGCGGAAACGGCTGTGCATATTTTCCCATGACATGCCATCGTACTGCACCTCAGCCCCTTTCTCCTTGTCGAGGTAGAGGCCGTGGGTCTCTCCGGCAATGGTTTTGAGGAAGGTAGAGCATCCGCTGCTGGTTGTTAGTGATCAGTCTTTGGCGGGGAGGGTGTCGATCCACGAACCTTCCCGGGCGTCCTAGCACAACTAGCATCTCACCACTGTGAATAATTCCTTCGAAGTCCCGCAGGATATCAATTCGTACTTTCTTCTGCAAACCAAAAACACTGCGGAACCATCCTGCACCTTTGAGCCAGAAGTTGGCGAAGTCCATCTGGTAATCAGCCGCAGTGCCGTAACCGAAAACATTGAGGTTGCGAAAGGAGACTCCTGTTGTGCGACGCGGGTACAGTGCTGGGTCGCTAGAAATCATCTGGATGATGTTCTTCACCCATTTTCGGGATTTAAACTGGTCAGCATTGGGATCTAGCTCTGGGTCACTAGAGTCGAGGAAGGTGTTGACACCCGCTGCAGTTTCACTGGCTGCTCTGAGGCTGTTCTGTCGTGATATTTGTGAGAGGGAACGTGCAAGAGTGGTGATTTGTCTGTCGCGATCCTCTCCGGACTCGGATACTGGGGTCTCCGAGCCGGGGGGTATCAACGGCACCATTGTCAGGCATGTTTCCCACTCGGTCTGGCATGAGAGGAGTCGGCGAGAAGCCTAAAGAAGGAAGAAGATTTGAAGTCATGAAAGAAACAAAGAAACACGGTAGAGGAGGTAAACAAGAGTTGTTGACAGAAGGGAAAAACAAGGTGGGACGTGGGACGTGACTAGGAAGAATTTTTCATATAAAGGAAGAGGAAGGAAGGAAGGAAGGAACATAAGAGAGTCAAGAGAAGGAAGGCAAGAAGGAACGGAAACCGGAAAGTGAGAGACCCGAGGGAAGTCAACACCCATGGGTGCACCGTCACAGCTCTTTCCGGAACAGTAAAGGGATTTTATGTACACGATGCACTATCTCAGTATTTAAACATACACATATATATACCCATATACATATGTATGTATTATCTGAACATCTGAACACCTGAATATTGGAATAAATGAATGTGACATTGCATAATGGAGTATAAGACTGCATCACATAACCTATATATTAAGGTGTTTTCGAGCCTCTTGATTGGCTGCGTATAAGAATCGTGTCCCCTCACCCCCACGTCTTATATTCACAGCAACTTCCATTTTGGGTTAATCTCGGATTCCGCCAATATGACAGAAAGTGAACTCGGCATTGTGAGGATCCGAGAGTCTAATGTGTTAACAAAAAAAACCCCAAGGTCAGACATCCGGACCTCAAAAGGTCCGGTAAAAGGAGTACCGAATGTGACACCAACGGCTCACTGTCGGATCAGGGTCCACCTGGGCATTGCCTATAGCTTACTAACTTGGTACAAGTTACCTACCTAGGTAGGTAGCTCTGGTCTCAAGGATCTAAATGTTGCACTATGTTTACTATATAGTTACTATATATTTAGTTATATATTGAAATTATATATATACTACTATACTACCAACTAACTATACGATTGAATAGAGGGTTATATTATAGAGAATCAAAAGTACAGAGAACAACAATACTCTGCCATTACACAGCATATGTGAATTGCTTTTGTTCGAAGATGAAGGAAGAAGAAAAAGACGAAAGAAGACCCATGGATGTTGACTTCCGGGAAACGGTGTGGCCCGATTGGCAAATGTGGCCCTCGGCCCTCTGATTTTTTGCTGTGAAGTTCTGATATTCTCAGTTGGATACACTTCAATGCGCGTATGAATTCAAGAATTTAAGAATCACTGGGTGTACAATCCATTGACCAACAGGCGTACTGTTCCCCACGGGACCATGGGCGTTTGCCAAAGCAGGCAGAAACATATAACACTGTTTTGCAGTAGGGGCTGCACCACCATCCGTCGGGACATATCTTGTGTTGGAATAGTATAGCGGAATACTCAATTCTCCAGGAATTGTCCTCAAAGGTCTGGCGGAGGAAAATTGACTGCTCATAGGTGGAGATCCACCCGTACTTGACGTCGAGTTCTAGCATGTACTGAATAGGCTGCGCTAGGATCGTGTGCATAGCACTTTCATCGCTATAATGGCTCGAAAAATCGTGCTCTTGGACCCGTGGCACTTTTACTTCCCCTATAGCTTTGGGCTTAGGCTGGACGGACGGGATGAGGGCGACGTCCGGGACTTTATTGTAAGTAGCGCCCGATGCTTTAAATCCCCGAACTTTATGTTGATATTCTGGGCCTCTAGGGCTGCTCCAACAATCTGGCCTACCGATTGTTGGAAACGGCCTTGGAGGCCGTGTTCGTCGCCGAGCCATACCTTCTCACGGCTGATGTCCCGTGTTAGATTCAGTTTAGATTCAGTTTAGATTTAGTTCAGATTCAGTTTAGATTCAGTTCAGATTTAGCAATAGGCTTATACGACTCGATAGCCTACGCGGCCCGGATTGGAGCCTTCTCAAACTCGGTGCCGAATAGGTATCTGCTTGTAAATTCGCATAAACGAGAGTGCATTTGGGTCGCTAGGGCTAGCAGGGCGACAAAGAAACTTCCCAGTCACGCGTGATGGGCCAAGGCCATTGGTGACGTCTGGCTGGTTCACAAAATTGACGCGCTCGTGTATCTTGTTAACAATTTCCCATCTCGAAGGGCGAACATCCAGCGGGGAATATCGCGATGACCTGAGGGTGACCGTGGTCCCGTAGTATGCCAGCTTGGATGATTTATGAGGGGGATTTCAGGAGAACTTTTCTTTTCCCATCAAAGGTTCTTCACCCTTGGGGGTGATGATGAAATGTGAAGAAACGCAGGAAGTATGGCATTGTGGGACCAGCACATGATTGAATTCATGCAATTGGTTGAGCGGGCCGCACTGTCGATCCATGGATCTTTATGAAAACAGAAATCGAAGTGTATAGCAATTCAATGTATGGTATAGGTATAAATGGCAGATATTTAATTCTCTAACTAACTGAGAATGACAATTTCCGCTGATTTGACCATCTGTGCGGATATGATTTACTAACTATACTATACACTTTTATATGGAGCACACTATTATGGCAGTCTATGAATTCTCCGGGTAAATATCCTATTTTCGACTATGGTATTCGATATACCCAGTTTTTCTATATAATTTATATACATATAGTTATATCACGACTAGCGAGTTACAAACTAGGCCAAAAAGACCACTATATCTGAGCGTTATGCTCAGATAGACCAGGCTCTGGTATATATATATATAGTGCATAGCATGACAATTCCACACTCTTTACGATCAGTATCCATATGGGCGATCCCACTCGGCGTTGGGCCTCGAGTTCTTGCTTCAGTTTGAGAAGCGCCTGCGTAGTCACACGTAACTAGTTAGACTGCAACAGGCCAATTTGAACGTTGATTTATTGATTGATTATAGAGCACAAGGGGCCGGCCTCGGGTGATTTAGGGGGCATGTTAGGCTCGTCATGGTACATAGATTTGACAGAATTAGAAATAGCACATATCACATCTCATTAAATAACTACCTTGGATATAATGTCATACATAGTGGAAAAGATGCCATACTTGGCACTTGGCGGGGAAGATAATCCGCTAGCATTTCCCCATTGAGTGCCCGCAGTGGTGCTCGCAGTGCCCGCTCCGCTCGGCACTTTGAAATTTCTGAAATTTCCAACCTTCGACCTCTTCTTTCGTCATCTGAATCGCAAATTTGGGATCTGAACATTCGAAACATTCGAAATCGACAATGGCATTAGATCCGAATAAAAGTGTACCAGGCGTAATGCCGACACACGAGAATGAAACCGAAAGATCGGCACAAGAAAGCGAACAGCAACCTTTATTGCAATCGGATCCAGTTCCTCCGACTTGGAGTCCACCACCAGGATTTCTACTGATTCAAATCGGTAAGTGAAATCAAATTGCATAGAAGTTAGAGCAAATTTTGACAATTTCACAGCAATCATGGCCAATGTATTTCTTGGCGGGTTTGACGGCACCATCACTGCCTCGACCTATGCTGTGATCAGCTCCGAGTTCAACGCCGCGAACACTGCTTCGTGGTTGACCACTTCGTACTTAATCACAAGCACGGCGTTCCAGCCTCTCTATGGCCGATTCTCCGATATACTCGGTCGCAGGTCTTGTTTCTTCACTGCAACCATCACCTTCATGATTGGTTGTCTGGGATGTGCCGTGGCCCGCGATGTAATCTTTTTGAACATCATGCGCGCCTTAACGGGAATTGGCGGTGGAGGATTGATGACTATGGGTATGTCAACAATCTTTCAATTGACATATTAATCGCTAACAAGTATCCTAGCAACAATCATCAACTCGGATCTCATTCCCTTCCGCCAGCGCGGTATGTACCAGGCAATCCAGAACGTCTCGTACGGCTTCGGAGGCATCTGTGGTGCTTCTTTTGGGGGTGCCATCGTTGACTCGATCGGATGGCGCTGGTGCTTCTTGCTGCAGGTTCCAGTCTCTTTCTTTGCTTTGGTCATGGGCTATATCGTTCTGAAGTTCCCAGCACGAAACACCGATTCTTCCCCAGATGGGCAGAAACGAGGAATTTGGCACCAAATCGATGTCCTGGGCGCTTGTCTGCTCATTCTGGCTCTCTCGACGCAACTGGTCGGACTCAGCCTGGGTGGGAACATTCTCCCTTGGACTCACTTGTGGGTGATTCTTCCATTGCTCTCTAGTGTGGTATTGCTGGTCGCATTTGTCATTGTTGAATCGAAAACCACCGCCGCACCTTTGATTCCATTGAAGATGTTAAGAGGACAACTCGCTGTATCCACACAGATCGCCAATGTTTGTGTCGGGATGGCAGCATACGCAGTAAGCTCACCCCTTCCACAAGTTCTATAACCATAGCGACGACTGACGCGACCCATTTAGTACCTCTTTACCCTGCCTCTCATGTTCCAGGTGATACTCCTCGACTCGCCCAGCAAGGCTGGTAGCCGACTAGTGATTCCCTGTCTATTTACCCCACTTGGTGGTCTTATTGCGGGAATCGTCATGTCACGCTGGGGCAAGCTGGCCTCCATTGTGCGTGTCGGTGCAGCCCTAATGTTCGTGGGAAATCTGCTCATCACGCTCCTTCGATTCAACGACTCGGCATGGAAGTACTTCATCTATGTCATTCCCGCCAACCTGGGTCAGGGGATGGTATACCCAGGGATTCTTTTCACATTCCTAGCAGCCTTCGACCACACCGGTGAGCCAACCTTTCTCTCTTTCCTTGTCACTTGTCGCCAGCGCCATTACCCAAATCCGCGAGCGACCGAGCCGTTTTGCCGAGCCAGCCTGCTAACAATGTCGTGCAGATCACGCCGTTTCCGCCTCAACCGTCTACCTCATCCGCTCTCTCGGAACCGTTTGGGGTGTCGCAGTGACCTCCACCATCATGCAGAATACACTTAACTCAGGCCTCGGGGAGGCCTTGAGTGGAATACCAGATAAAGGGAAAGTACAATTCCTTCGCCGTTTGATGACAACGAGCCCCTGAATAAGCCTTGCTGACCTAAACACTCGTTTCCTCTTAGGTGATTGATGAGATCCGCCACTCAGTCTCGGCTATTTATGATCTCCCTCCGGATGTGCAAATGGCCGCTCGGCTGGTGTACTACCAAGGGATCAGACTCTCCTTCATGGCCTCCGCGATCTTCGCATTTATCGCGACCATCGCTTCTATTTTCACCCGTGGAAAGGGGCTGGAACGCGCAGGCGGCAAGTAAGGAACCTCGACTTCGCTCCCCGGAGGAACTCCATATCGGAGTATAGGGGATAGATGTGGTGTTTATGGTGAGGTCAACCCACATCTCGCGCAGTCCCGATGGAGTGATGAGCGGCCCCAAATCAGGGTGGGTCGAAAAAAAGAACCACTCACCCAAATACATTGAAGTGGCAGGTGGAAGTAGATAAAGTGATTGCATAGGCATAGTCCAGAGTGTGGATGCTCAATGCAACAGGTGGTATATATTGGAAGGATATAGCTTAGAATATAGAAGTTGGCGAGTTAGGAATAGAAATAGTAAGGCTGATTCGTTCAGTCTCACGAAAAACTAATTCATAGTACACCCACTTGACTATATCAGTGCTAGTGCTGATCCAACTCAAGGTAACCTCCATTGCTGAGTGATACCATCCAACCTCCCATCTCCATTCTATTCTACTCAATTCAGCACAGAAATACAGCAATTCCATCAAGATGCCTACCGATACATTCCACCTCTACTCATACTTCTGCTCCTCATGCTGTCAACGAATCATAATTGCTGCTCATCTGAAGGATATCCCTCTTGAATATACCTACATCGACCTGGGCGCCAAAGCGCACACAACAGACGAATACAAAGAATCGAACCCCAGCGCCAGCGTGCCTACCTTGGTAGTGACAAGCGCCAACGGCGAAAAGACCATCATCCGCCAATCTATGACGATCTTGGATTATTTCGAGGAAAGGTTCCCAGATACATCTCCACTCCTCCCTCGTGGAATACATGATCGCGTGCAAGTGCGTGATATCGTGAATATCATCGCCATCGATACGCAACCTACCACCAACTCCCGTATCGTACAGCGGGTGAAGGGTATTCGTGAAAGTACCGAGGATCGGGATAAATTCGTCAAACAGGCTTTTACCGACGGATTCCAAGCCTACGAAAGCCTGTTGGTGAATCAGGGCGGGGAGGGGACTTATTCCTATGGGGATACTGTTTCTATGGCGGATGTGGTGCTGGTCCCCACGGTTGACCAGGCTTTGTTGTACCGAATGGATTTGGATTTCGTGCCTAACCTCAAGCGCATCCATTCTACTCTCAAGGAACTGGAGGCTTTCAAGGCTGCGGATTGGCGGAATCAGGGGGATACACCGGATAAATTTCGGGCCCAGGATGCTTGAGCCTTGCTTGGTTTAGGCCTGGTAGGAATGAAACGCGGATAGTAATTACAGCGACAGGGATCGAAGGAAGTATTCTTGAAACTGGGAGGCAATATATATTTGATTTGAGTTATGCTATGCATGTGCAAGGCTCCCTAAGATTAATGTATATTCTCCCCGATACATTAATTGGTAGTGAGCACTGCAATACTCAGGTTGGGCAGCTTGAAAGAGAACTCGCCCTTCTTGCCAGCCTTGATCTGGGTAGTCTTGCTGTTGACGAGGTTAGCCCCGCCGACCTCGTTCATCGAGAATGGATCCGGTGCAGTCAGGATCGTCAAGTCTGCCTTGGTGCCGCGGCCGACACCCTCGAATGTCAGTGACACGGGCACATCGGATGTGCTGTTGTAGACTGCTCCCTTGAAGATGTGCGAGTTGGTCTTGCTGTTTAC